GGGTCAGCCCTGTACATGTCGTGCCAAAGAAATGAGGGATCACAGTCATCAAGAATGAGCATGATGAACTCATTCCAACAAGAACAATCACAGGACACAGTATGTGTGTCGACTACAGGAAACTGAACTCCTCTACGCGCAAGGACCACTACCCCTTGCCATTCATAGATCAGATGCTTGAGCGCCTTGCCAATCATCAATACTACTGTTTCTTGGATGGATACTCAGGATTTTTCCAAATTCCAATCCACCCAGATGATCAGGAGAAGACTACATTCACTTGTCCCTATGGCACATATGCTTATAGGAGAATGCCTTTTGGATTGTGCAATGCTCCAGCTACATTCCAAAGGTGTATGATGTCCATATTCACAGATCTAATAGAAGAGATTATGGAGGTTTTCATGGATGATTTCTCAGTATATGGTTCTTCCTTTGAATCATGTTTGGGAAATCTTGGAAGAGTGCTACAGAGATGTGAAGACAAGCACCTAGTTCTAAATTGGGAGAAGTGCCACTTTATGGTTAGAGATGGAATAGTGCTTGGACATAGAATCTCAGAAGAGGCATAGAAGTTGATAAAGCCAAGATTGAAGTATGACAAACCTTCAGCCGCCCAAGACAGTTAAAGATATCAGAAGCTTCTAGGACATGCTGGTTCTACAGGAGGTTCATTAAAGATTTCTCACAGATAGCAAGGCCGCTAACACGCCTATTATGCAAGGATATTAACTTTGAGTTCACAGAGGAGTGTCACAAGGCTTTCACTAAGATCAAAGATGCATTGGTCAGTGCGCCAGTGGTTCAACCTCCAAACTGGGAACTACCTTTTGAGATAATGTGTGATGCAAGTGATTATGCAGTAGGAGCAGTGCTTGGACAAAGAAAAGACAAGAAGCTACATGTGATCTACTATGCCAGCAGAACACTTGATGAGGCACAATGCAAGTATGCCACAACAGAAAAGGAGCTTCTGCTATTGTCTTTGCATTTGAGAAATTTCGATCATACTTGGTGGGATCAAAAGTTATAGTTCATTCTGATCATGCAGCATTAAGGTATCTTTTATCCAAGAAAGATGCCAAGCCAAGATTGTTGAGATGGATACTACTATTGCAAGAATTTGATCTTGAGATCAAGGATAGAAGAGGAGCAGATAATGGAGTAGCTGATCATCTTTCAAGGATGAGAGTTGAAGAAAATCTACCCTTGATGATAGGCTACCTGAAGAATCAGTTTATGCAGCTGAAGCTAGCAATAAGCATGGACAACTAGGCCATCACAGGCCAGGAACAAAGATCTCATCATCAAACACACCATGGTTTCGCCACATAGCAAACTTCCTTGCAGCTGAATACCCACCACCAAACTTCTTTGGCTACAGAAAGAAGAAATTTCTGCGTGATGTAAGAAGGTACTACTGGGATGAACCTTACTTATACAAGAAATGTTCAGATGGAATGTTTAGAAGATGCATACCTGAGGAAGAGGTAGAAGGAATATTGTTTGCTTGTCATAGTTCTAGCTATGCAGGCACTTTGCCACTTACAAGACAGTATCCAAGGTCCTACAAGCTGGATTTTGGTGGCCAACTATGTTTAAGGATGCTCATGCATTCATATCAAGATGTGATGCTTGCCAAAGAATGGGAAATATAAGCAAGAGGAATGAGATGCCACAGAACTTTATACTAGAAGTTGAAGTTTTTGATGTTTGGGGCATTGACTTTATGGGACCCTTCCCAACCTCTTTTGGTGACCAATACATTCTAGTGGCAGTTGATTATGTCTCCAAATGGGTGGAAGCCATTGCCAGCCCTACTAATGACGCACAAGTGGTCATCAAGATGTTTAAATCCATCATTTTTCCAAGGTTTGGAGTGCCTAGGATAGTCATAAGTGATGGAGGTTCACATTTCATAAACAGAATCTTTGCCAACCTTTTGAAGAAGCATGGAGTTACTCACAAAGTTGCCTCTCCTTACCACCCTCAAACTAGTGGACAAGTTGAGATCTCAAACAGAGAACTCAAGAGCATACTTCAGAAGACAACAGGCAAGACAAGAAAGGATTGGAGTGCCAAACTAGATGATGCTCTATGGGCATACCGCACTGCCTTCAAAACACCACTTGGTACCACCCCCTTTCATCTTGTTTATGGTAAAGCATGTCATTTACCTGTGGAGCTGGAGTACAAAGCAGCTTGGGCTATTAAGGAGTTGAACTTCAACCTAAAGACAGCAGGAGAAAGAAGATTGATTCAGCTGAATGAGCTTGATGAGATTAGGCATCTGGCTTATGAGAATTCAAAGATCTATAAGGAGAGAACCAAAGCTTTCCATGACCGCAAGATCATCCCAAAGAACTTTGCGCCAAACGACCAAGTTCTACTATTCAACTCAAGGTTGAAACTCTTTCCAGGAAAGCTTCGCTCAAGATGGTCAGGACCATTCAGGATTAAAGAAGTTCGCCCCTATGGAGCAGTGGTACTATGGGACCCAATGGGAGGAGACTTTACAGTCAATGGACAAAGGTTAAAACCTTACCTAGCCTCCACCACCATACCACAGGAGACCACACTAGCTCTTGGCGATCCACCAGATCCTTAAGGAAGTGCCATACAGTCAAGCTAAAGACTTTAAACAAAGCGCTGAATGGGAGGCAACCCATTGAAGGTCATTTCTTTTCATTTTCTTTCTTTAATTTTCTTTTGTTTTGAATATTACCTCTCACCTTAATGTGATTTGCTTTCACCGGGACGGTGCAAGTTAAGTCTGGGGGGAGTTTTATTGTGTTACTAATGCATTTTTCTTTCTTTTCTTATGTTTTATTCACTTTGTTTCATGTTTTTCAAAAAGTTTTATTGAGTCAAAAACCAGTCCGGAAGTTATGAACTTGCTTTGAGAATTGAGAGTGTTATGCTAACAATCCATGACCCTAGAGCAGAAACCAGCTAAAGGCACAAGCCTAACAGAAGCTCTTACAGTGGATCGACATGCTAGCTCAGCAAAATTTCTAAGGTAACCAAGCAATCTAGAGTTAACCTCACACTTAATCAATCTTAATTACTCTTGTCAAGGGGGTTGGCATACATGTCGACAGTTCCTTGCTTGATTTTCAATAAGATTTGTCTAATCTTTAAAGAGTTCTCCTCTCTCTCCCATCCCAAATGGTAAGTGATATTATGAGAAAAAGCTCAAAGAGCACAAGGAAAACAAGTAAGCATGAGGAATGCATATGTCTGTACCTTCATGTCTTATGGAATACCTTAGTCAAACAAGGAACAAGCTAAAGACTTATCCTGTGGTTGAAAGAAGGGTCAATAGAAAAAATAAAATGATACCCTAGAAAAGTAGGGATAAATTGACCTTTCAAAGTTCTGATGTGAGAAAGAGAGAGGAAAAGAACTCATTGCACTTAAAGACAATCTTGGAGAAGATCAAGTGGGTAAGAACAAGTTCAATTGATCGATGTCCCCTTGATAAAGAATTCACGCTTTAAATTTATGCAAGAGGTTAGCAATAGAGAGTTTGGATTGCTGGATGAGACTAGTTGGGTTGGTATTGTTCGCTAAACTTGCAGGGTGTATGTGAAGCTAACCTTATGTTGTCTATGTTCTTAGTGGAATACAGGAAAGGAACCTTTCACAGGATATTCAAAAGAGCAAGGGAGTTTCCACGTTTTCAAACCTCTTTCACGGATTTAGATTCTTTTTGCTTGGGGACAAGCAAAGATCTAAGTCTGGGGGAGTTGATATACCTCTATTTTACACTTTTTATACTGTTTTAGCATTGTTTTCTAATGGTTTTTGGCAGGTTTTCTATCTAAAAAGGTAGTTTTACTGTGTTTATAGTGTCTAGAGTCTAAACAGGTGAAATGATGCATTTTGGAGCAAAACCATAGGATTTGCACTTCAAGCCAGCTCCATGCACAAGCACCAACTTTAAGAGGGCCCAGAAAAAGATCTACTCAATGGATTTCATCAAGACCAGTTCCCTGCGTGCTCTGATTGAGTTAACTTTCCAACGCAACTGGAACGGCCTAATTTGGATGAGTAGAAAAGGAGTTACAACCAAAAGAGTGAAGACTGTCCAGACGGCTCTATCGAGAATCAGCGCCCAACCGCGCAGTCCGGCTGGCCGAGGAACGAATGTTCCACGCTCGGCCAAATCTCGTCCGTCCGTCTGAAGTCTCGGCCAAAGTCCAAAACCGTCGGCCGATCACGCATCACGACCCGGGAAACTATTGCCCGCGGTCGGCCACGCCACGCTCACGCCACCGCGCACGACCAAACCGCCGAGCCGGGAAAAGCCTCGCGGCCGCGCAACCCTCGCGTACCACGCACGAACGCGTCCGAGCCGGGAAACTACGTCCCGCGTCCGGCCGAGATTTCATCGGCCAAATCACCCGTCCGACCACGCGGCCGACCACGAATCCGTCCGACCCGACCGTTCCGACTCGGCCACAACCCGATTGTCCGGCCGATCGTCCCGACGACCGTCCCAACGCCGCGGTCGACCCGAAGCCCGTTTTGAAGCCCAATTATTTTTCAAGGCCCGGCTTAACCCTAAGCCGCCTCTAAAAGACCTAGCACTATATATATAGCTTTTTAGCCTCTTGTGAAAAGAGAGCCGCCTTGTATTCAATTTCATACTTTGAGTTTTATTGCAATCATGTTTTCTTCATCTCTTTGTGTTTTGCTTTGATCATGTCTGAGTAATTCACTAGTTAGGTTGTGAGATCTATCAAAGAGTTCATGGTTTGATAGGTTGTTAGAAGTCGCATAGGGTTTATATATCGCATCTTCGCCTCTGCTTGAATTCATTGCTGCTTGCTTTTCTGATCAACTAGCATCAGATCTTAGGTTTCATATACTCTCCAAAAGCTTGCTATATAACCTGAACTAAGTATTTGGTGAGCAAAACTTCATAGACTGCGAAAGTTGATCTATGCGGGGTTGTGAACAATTGGGTCTTGAACGAACTATTGCTTGATTTAATCACCTAGGGACATACCAAAAGTTTAGCGACTAGGTAGATTAACAAAGGGGTCGGAGCCTCGACAGTGGAAAGATCATACAATCGTGACCTGAGTTCTAGATAGCGCAAACCCTAGCGAATCCTTCTAATATCTTGTTAACCTTGAATCTCTGCGAGTTTCTCATTGCCTAGCGTTTCCCTTATTGATTTTCATAAACCGTTTAATCTGCTGTTTGATTTACTTTGTTACACAATCAAAAACCCTAAATCATACTTGTTTTCTAGCTATTTTAGACTTGCAATACTCGAAGTGTACTTATCTGCTCCTTGTGTTCGATACCCGTTTACTACTTTTGATCTGTGCACTTGCAGAATCAGGGATAGGAAAAGGGAAGACCTGATCCCGCGATCAAAATACAAGGCGGCTCTCTTTCTCAAGAGGCTAAAAATCCATATATATAATGCTAGGTCTTTCTAGAGGCGGCTAGGGTTAAGCCGGGCTTGAAAACATAAGTTTGGGCTTCAAAAAGGGCTTCGGGTCGACCGCGGCGTTGGGACGGTCGGTCGGGACGATCGGCCGGACAGTCGGGTCGTGGGCCGAGTCGGAACGGTCGTGGCCGGACGGATTTGCGGTCGGCCGCGTGGTCGAGGGATAGAGATTTGGCCGATGAAATTCTCTGGCCGGACGTGGGACGTTCTTCCCGGCTCGGACGGATGCATCGGCCGTGGTACGCAGAACGGGTTGCGCGGCCGCGAGGCTTTGTTTCCCGGCTCGCGCGGCGTGATCGTGCGCGGCGTGGCGTGAGCGTTTGGCTTGGCCGACCGCGGGCAATGTTTCCCGGGTCGTGTTGCGTGATCGGCCGAACGGTTTTGGACTTTGGCCGAGACTTCAGTCGGACGGACAGTTTGGCCGAGCGCGGAACATTCGTTCCTCGGCCAGCCGGACTGCGCGGTTTGGGCGCTGATTCTCGATAGAGCCGTCTGGAGCAGTCTTCACTCTTTTGGCTATAACTCCTTTTCTACTCATCCAAATGAGCCATTCCAGTTGCGTTGGAAAGTTAACTCAATCAGAGCACGCAGGGAACTGGTCTTGATGAAATCCATTGAGTAGATCTTTTTCTGGGCCCTCTTAAAGTTGGTGCTTGTGCATGGAGCGGCTTGAAGTGCAAATCCTATGGTTTTGCTCCAAAATGCATCATTTCACCTGTTTAGACTCTAGACACTATAAACACAGTAAAACTACCTTTTTAGATAGAAAACCTGCCAAAAACCATTAGAAAACAATGCTAAAACAGTATAAAAGTGGGTAAATTAGAGGTATATCATGTGCCTATCATCATCAGACTCCCAACTGCGCTTTGATATGGAACCTTTTCCATCTCCATTGACTGTAGCTGCTTGAAAACTGAAGTGAGCTC